TGGATGGACAGTATAGGCCGTAATGTGGGCTTCTTCTAAAATTTCTTCCCTCAAATTATCTTAATTCGGCACGTATGTTCAGAATCCATACTTCAACAACCCATCATCTCCATATTTATAGTTCTGGTCTCGCTCTTTCGACCCCAAAATTTTCATCACAAACTCATCTTGACCTTGGGTATTGCGGATTCGATCTAAAATCATTGGTCATACTCGAAAATAAGTAATAAAAGTATTAAAACCGTCAATATCCATTTTGATCCCCATGCTGCCCAAACTTTGCCATTCATACACTAGACTTCTCTGTTCAACCGACACGTGGGCCAAACTGCCCATAGAATTTCGACTTAAAGCATCGGCTACAACGTTTGCCTTACCAAGGTGATACTAAATAGTGCAATCGTAATCTTTAAACAGTTCCATCCATCGGCCTTGTCTTAAATTAAGATCACGTTGTTGAATTATATACTTCAAACTCTTGTGATCAGTATAGATTTCAAAGCTTTCCCCATACAAGTAATGGCGTCAAATTTTTAAGGCAAACACTATCGCTGCCATATCTAAATCATGGGTAGGATACTTCTGTTCATGCTTCTTAAGTTGTCTCGAAGCATAAGCTATAACTTTTCCGTTTTGCATCAACACACATCCCAATCCAACCCTCGATGCATCACAATACACAACATACCCTCTTGGACCAGTCGGTAAACTTAAGATTGGTGCTGACATCAAACACACCTTAAATCTTAAGAAATTGTCTTTACATTCATCAGTCCATTCAAACTTAGCTCCCTTTCGCATCAACTTTGTCAATGGTGCCACGATTGTCGAGAAATCCTGCATAAATCGACGATAATACCCGACCAATCCCAGAAAACTTTGAATCTCCGTAACTGTATTTGGTCTTGACCAAGTTTGGATTGATGCCACTTTTTGCGAATCCACACTAATACCTTCCTTCGATATTACATGCCCGAGGAAACTAACACTTTCTAACCAAAAAGCACATTTAGAGAACTTGGCATACAACTCATGTTCTGTGCTGTGCTGCATGACACGAGAATTCCTAAGACTCAACTAAACCTGGCTCTGATACCAAATCTGTAACGACCTCTTCCCTCGATTGCTACCGACGTTTGAGACTTAGGGGTGAGTTTGTCAAATCTCAAACAAGCCTTAATTAAATCTCTAATCAACATTCGATATTAACACTATAAATCATTCAAACCAAATATTCACAATAACTAACATATAGCCATTTGATACAAACATCTAAGTTTGATAACTCCATACAACTCATCCTAGTATATAAACATTATTGCATCACCTTAAGCTTTAGCCATTACATTTCCAGTGACTATTGATTCTTACCAACTAGACTATATGATACACAAACCGACCTCTAGGCAGCGAAGTGACTCGAAATGAAAGTCTAGAGATATCGTTATCTAGGGTGTAGCCAGCCTCGCGACGCTGAACAAAAATTCTAAAACTGATTACTTATCTACAAAAGAAAATAAAGAGGAGTGAGTCTCACAGACTCAGTGATCATCAACCCCGTGAGTAGGGTTTAGACGAGAAACAAGCTAAAGGCAGAAAATTTGAAGATTTAGAAACAT